TGACCGGCCTAACTGATTTGATTTTCTCCCGCGATCCTAAAAATATTTCTTCACGCTTATTAAGCGGAATGAGTTATGTTGTCACAAAAAACCTTTCGCCAAGTTTTTTTAAAATTAAATTTTAAATGATCTTCAAAAAAGAGAGAACTGTTATGACATAAAAGGGCTTTTCTGGCCTTGATATAAAGAGGGCCGAAGATCCTTTTCTTGCAGGAACAGAAAAACGGGACCTTTTGGCTTACAGGCATTAAGCCAGTCCACGGACTGTGTTGTGAACTGGCTTAATGCCCAGAAGCCAAAAAGTCTGAAACCTCCTTCAAATTATCTAGTGGCGCAAAACTGCCAGCGATTACCCCTTTTGTTGCTTGCAAGCTAGGTAAGGACGGCTTCAAGTCTCTGGCATTTGGCAATATCAATTTAAAAGCAAAACGAATGAGCCAACCGCAGCACAATTCTGCTGCATAAGGGAGTAAGGGTATTTTGAAAAACACAAAAATAATCGTCTGGAATTTTGGATGAAAGAAACGACCCTGTTCCTCGGTCTTATTTTGCAAACCGGAAATATTTTTCCGGATTCCCACGCTTTTTAAAATAACGAGTGATTCATTCCCGCATTTCTCCTGAAATTATTAAATCTTTAAAAATACAATCCAGATCATAAAATCTTCCGGAACAGAAATGTGGCTTTTTCCATTTCTTTTGTTTTGCTCCGTGCAAGCAGCTCTTCCAAATTATCCGGATTGTGAAGCAAAACCGGCTTTGCAGGATTCGATTGGGAAAAAAAAGTAAGTCTTTCTTCGTCTTTTTTTAAAAATCAGTTTAATTTAAAAGAGGAAAATGAATGAGAGTGTGCCAGGAATAAAGCTTTTGTGCCAAGAAATATCTGAAAGCTCTAAGGTTAGTTGTTTATTTGGGTCTGAAGTGGTCATAGATTTCACATTACAAGTTTAGTAATGATTATTAGCAACTGGCTCTTTATTCTGTTGATCATCACTGCACTTTTAGATTCAAACATTTTTTATAGATTTGTGATTGATGATTACCGCAACGCAAAGATAGCGGCGGAAGCGGAAAAACTATCCGGACAGGAATTAGTTGATTACGTTAACTCACATCAAACTTTGTGGAAGGTAAATGAATTGAATTAAGCTCAATCCTTAGAAAAGCATGCGCTTTGCTCTCCTAAACAATATGCCTTTTAACAACCAGCCGCGGCACTCGCGAGGCTTGTCGTTGTAATTACGGTTTTTTCGGCAAGTACTTCTACCAAGAAAGTAGAAATGTGAATTGAAGCGGGATTCGTTATTATTATGCATTTCTGTATATATGCAAATGCAAAAGCATACTTTGTGACAGTCTCTGGTGTAGTTGTGCGTGTGTGTTTGTGTGTATGGTGTGTGTATGTGCGTCTGACCGGGCATTTTAACTCGAAAACCAAGCAAGCTTTAGCGCTAAAATTTTACCAGTGAGTGTCGCGGCCACGTGCCACTCCAGGGCCGTTGTACCGGCCTTCACGAACGTCTAGGTGGCGCATACGAGCACGTGAAAGTTTTGACAGAAAATTTGCTAGCTCAGGAGCCAGAAAAACTACGAAGTTGAAACTTTGAGGGGATTTTCCCCTTCCGTGCTGAAAAAAAAATTTCAAGAAATTTGAAATTTATCCCCGGGTGCGCGTGGTTCTCATATATAGGCCCGCCAAAACTGCTAACTGGAGAGCGAGAAAAACTGGAACGCTGAAGACTTAACGGAATGTTTCCTGTCCGCAGTTAATTTCCTGAACTTCGAAGACCAGTATGTCACAGATTCTAGCTATTGGCGTTCCAAACAATTTTACTACATCTCGAAATACTGCAAAAACGCATGATCACACATCTGTTGCGCGCCGCCAATGATCATTTTTATAATGCGAAGATTTTGCGCAAAAATTGCCAAACTGCATATTGTGTGATTGCACATTGGCTAAATATGGGTGTGTTTCAGTTTAAACAATTTTGCCAGGTGGTGATATTTCATTTTGTACTGAGTGTACGCAAAGTAATTTGTCCGGCACTCAAAAAGTCCACGCTTTACTCCAAAAATTATTTGAGTGCCATTTAAATTTCTTTCAGGCTGAAATAAATAAATTTAATTCATATGAAGATCACGTTAAATATGGTTTGCTTGGAGTAAAAAAATCAAAATTACCAGCCGACAACAAGGTGTATTCATCACCAGCACAATACGTCAACGCTTGCATACCGAAATCATTTGATGCCCGAGAAGCTTGGCCAGAATGCATATTATCAATAGGCAACATTCGAGATCAATCTGCATGCGGCAAGTTGCAATGAGTGTATGAAAAAGCTGTTAAACAATAAAACCCTAGGCTGAAG